GGGCCTGCGCTCTCATCATAGTAGTTATTCACAGTGCAAGATGTGCAGACATGATATCTTGTCTGAACACTATTAGTTCAAAACTTTAGAAGTATTCTTTAGGTGCTAAACTTGACCTTTTATGGAAATTACTAAAAATGAATTAGCTAATAAAAATATATTTGATATTTTAGCCATTGCTCTTACCTAAAATTTTTGTAAACTGGAAATTATTTTAAGATAATTTCCTTTTCTAAACTTTTTCTAATTTCTCATTAATTCATTTAATATTTCAATGAATATTAATTTCTTTGATGGATAATACATCTTTCATTTGCAGTTCCTCAGAATTATTCATGATTGGCCAGGTGTGGTGGCACACACCTCCAGTCCCAGCACTCAGGAGGCTGAGGCAGGAGGATTGTTGTGAGTTCAAGGCCAGCGGGGGCTACAAAATGGGTTCAAAGACAGCTTAACCTACACAGTGAAACTCTGTCTCGAAAAGGTGAATAACAACAATGAATCTAATTATTGATGATCAAAGGAAGAATTTAAAATGTATTTGGAAAGTTCAACATATAAAAGATTGATTTGGGCTGGGGAGATAGCTCAGTAGAATAAGTGGTTGCCTGGCAAGCACAAGGACCTGAGTTCAATCCCCGGTTCCACCAAAAAAAAAAAAAAAAAAAAAGATTGATTTAGAAAGAAACAAGACAAAGGTTTTGTAGAAGTGGCACAAGTAGCATGTCACTATTCCTTATGTCATTTTGCTAAGTGTCTCTAGTACTCAAACAATGGTAAAAGCACTGGTTTGGGTATGAACCATCCTCTCACCATGACTAGTTTGAGAAGGTCTGCAGCATTGCCTCTCTCCTCCTCAGTTCTGGAATCCTTGACTGACATTTCCTGTAGCTCATCTTCTTTCTGTAGAATGTGATTTATATAATCCTAGATAAGCAGGATAAAACACATAGATAAAAGCATCAGGTTTAAGATATATACCTGGAGAGAGGTGCCAAAATAGTCATATTAACTTAAAATGTTACAAAAAGATGAATAGTAAGTATGTTCACACAGCTTAATAAACAATCAATCGCTAGCTGAACAATCTGGAAGACTTTTGCTTAGGAGCTTAATAACCAGACTTGAAAAGTCCACAAGAAAACCTTTGAGGCCACAGGACAAACCTGCATGGCGGCTTCAGAGAAGTGCTGTTTCTGGTCTGTGCTTCCGCGTTCTCAATGGGACTCACACTGTGGATTAGACAGTGTTCAGGCCTTTCGGGTATAATCTTATTTATTTATTTATTTATTTATTTATTTATTTTTTTGGCAGAACCAGGGATTGAACTCAGGCCCTTGAGCTTTCCAGGCAAGCGCTCATTCTACTGAGCCATCTCGCCGGCCCCATAGGTATAATCTTATGATTATGTCTGCAAATGTACGTTGCTTAGTCTATTACTTTTGCTTCCAAGAGAAATATACTTTGGCTTTTACATGAATATTTAACCGATTCCCGTTATGTATTGATCTTCTGCTCTGTGCCATGTACTGATTATATAACCATAAACAAAATCCATGTAATTTCTGTTCCAAGAAAATCAGTTAGAAAATGAGGTGCTACTGACACATTTATTCAATTAACTATACATTTGTCAGTTACAAAATTACTTCCAAGGCAAGACCCTTTTCATTCATGAACAAATATCAAATGGAGAAGTGATTCTATCTTTTTTTCTCAGAGATTACTACATCCATATAATAAGAAAGGAGGTCTCAAAGAAAAAAAAAAAAGAAAAGAAAAGAAAGGAGGTCTCAGTATGGCAGTCACAAATCACAGTTGTCCCAATGTGTGACAGTTGCTGCATAGAGGACTTAAAAGATCATTCACAGATGAAATTTAGTTTTATCCAAGAAGCCCAGAGAAGCTGCTTATGAGAAGGCCTCAGGAAAAGACCCGCAGCCCGAGACCCTTGCAGCTATGTATTTGTGACTCAAGAACATGAGAAAAAAGCATTTGTAACAAATTGTATAGCAGTTTTTGCTGGGGACAGGGCCCAAATGGGATAGTTTATTATGTGACATGTATTGACCTAGTTTAGGTAATCATATTGGGGCACAGGGGCAGCCATGGCCAAACCAAGCATCTCTGAAAATAACTTGCTTTTAATTCTGCTGACTGTAGTCCTGCAGATTCTGCTCTAAACTTGCACCGTGTATTCCAGGAGCATGGGAACTATTGTTCCCAAGGATTTTTCCATTGGCCACTCTCTTGCTCCACAGTTCTTATCTTGTCTGCATTTTAAGGGTTTCCTAATGATTCTTTCACCTTGTAGGAATCACTATGTATTACCTCTCAGCCTGCTATTCCCAAAGGTTGACATTCATGTGTTACACTGGATAAAAATTGGTGGAGTTCAATGATTTTAGATTCCAAAGGAACCAAAGAAAGACAAGCCAAGAAGGATGATTGCCTTGTTTCTGATTCTTTTGAGATCAGATTACCCGGATTCTACTACCTTTAGTGAAACCTGCAGCTTCTGTTTCGCCTCGCTCTTTATGACCTCATGCTGGATGAACTGGCGCATCTGTAAAAACTTGGGGTCTTTGAGTATGGGGGCTGGGGTGCTCATTAGCTGTTTGCATCCAATAGAAAGGCCCTTCCAGATTTGAGTGCCAAATGGGGGTCCTGGAGTTTTTCTCTGTCAAAACAAAGCAAGACATTCACTAAAGAAATCTGAATGTTTTTACCACATATATATATTTTTAAAATTGAGTATTTATGTAGGTATTATGCCAGGAATCACTTTTTAAGAATGCAATTGCATGAAAAAATCTTGCCCTCAAAAAGTTCTGCAAATATAAGGAACATTGATATTAGAACTGGCCAATATTTCTTCTTTGTATATATTTCCAAGAAATTGAATGCTTTAAAATCTTATTGTCTGGCATCCTCCTGAGTATCACTTAAAGCAATGTTAAGCAAAGGAGTGCATAAAAATGCAACAACAGGCTAGTTTGTGACAAATTTATGTGACTATACCTTAATACCTTATGTGGTCTAAAACATTTAGTCTTTAATTTTGTGGTTCTGTGTTTCTTTTGTGGTAGAAAGATTCTTTGAGAGAGAAACCATCCTGTAGATAATTTGTATTTTGAAAATTTTCCCGATAAAACATCCTGTCAATATGTCAATTACGACAATGACATCATTGTCATTGACAAAATAATTGTCATCATTGACAAAATGGCATCACTGTCATTTTCATGATGGGTAGACTTTGCTGACAAATGGCCTGAAGTGTGTCTGTTGTACTTCACTTGAAAAAGCATGACTGTGGGTGACCACTCCGAGGCTTGAAGCTTACCACATAAGAGCTTCAGAGAATGAAGAAGTGAATAAATTTTTTTTTACTAATCTCAGAGCTAGTGTAATTTTTATTATCACATAGAACTTTCAAGTTGGACACAGCTTTAGTGAACCTTCTGGTGTGACCTTTGAATCTTCAGGAAAGGCCCATTATGACTTGTCCCAAATCCTCTATTAATAAGTTATAGAACCAGGACATAAATTTAAAATAATTTTCATCTCACCATGTGAATTACAGTTACCAAATTAAAACAAAGGGGGGAGGAGCCAGGAGATGGCTCAGTGGAATAAGCGCTTCCCTGGCAAGCGCAAGGGTCTGAATTCAATCCCCGGTTCCGCAAAAAAAAAAAAAAAAAAAAAAAGAATAAAAAAAACCCCAAAGGGGTGGAACATTGTTGTTCATCAACTCTACTTTTGTCATTATAAAATTTATTGTTAGGAAGCAAAAACATAATTTGAAAATATTCTCATTTAATATTAGGTATCTCTTTCAGATCACATTATCAATGCCTTCATTGATTTAATAATTTAATGTCTTACAACATGCTAGAGACATTACGTAAATTACTTATTAAGTAAAATGATAAATCTTGCAAAACTGCAAAATTTCATGATTACTACCCAAGATATTTTCTTTCATTATTTAAAAACTTTAGGTGAGATTTGTCTCATCTGATATAATCACAGTACTTGCTACCATTTCAGTTGCAAAGCCCACGTGTAATCCTTTATGTTATTGTTATATGCTCAGTTGGTGCATTATTAATACGTGAAGGGAAAAAAGGTGAAGTGAAATCTTAAACTCTGTGTTAAAACTAGTAAGAAAGAAATTACAGGAAGAAATGGCATAATAACAGCAATTCTATGATAAGAGAAGTATAACATGCATTATTTAGAAAGTATATTTTAATATCATGGGAAGGTGTTCATACCTGTGACATAGATAAAAGAAGTAAAATTGAAATTGGATAGCAAGAATATTTCTCTAAAATCCTATTTCCATACATAAAATTTGAAAAAGCTTCAAGTAGAAAACCCCTTGAGCTTATTGGCAATTTACAGAAGGTTTAAATATAAGTATATGGAAGAAGACTAGAGAGTAATGGGTGCATATGCAAATAATGCAGTTTTGTAGTGGAAATTGTGTACCTCCACTTGGGGAAAGTTCTCCCATGACCTTGACTGGAGATTAGGAGGAACAATTGTCTCTAATTCCTTCTTCATTAACCATGGTGAAGCTTCATGGAAAGGGCGAAGGATTGTGATGCTCAGGGTCCCTGGATGAGAAAGAGTTTTCTCCTGTGAAATTATCACGATGAATTCAAGATGCAGTAACTAAATTCATCAAACACCTTTGAACTGTCTTCTATGCAAAAAAGATCTGTAAAACCCAGAGACCACGCTTAAGGACCTTACAATATCAAAATAAGGTGAGGCTGCTAGTCACTGTAACCCCTAGAGACTGGAGTTTGATTACCTGGAGGTGACCAAGATTCACTGACACCTGATTGTCCCTCAGTAATCATGTCCAAGTCCTGTCAGTTCTATCAGTAAGCCTTTTCAACACCATCCACTTCTGCTCTTGTCATAGTCTACATTACATCATTGCTTCTGGAAGATACTATCTGGACTATGACAACAGCTAGCCTTCTAACTCATATGAGCTCTGTTAGTGGGCCTTCCACAGTCAGGGTGACAGGGTATATCCATTTGGGATCCAAACTCTTCTTTGACTTCCGAATCTCTTCCAAAAGCCAATTAGACTATTACTTTCTCTCTCTGCGTCAATTTGTACCACTCTCCCTCTCTGTTCTTTGAGCTGTGTGGCTCTTTTCTCCTTTGTGTTCGAATGTTCCAAGAAAACCCTTCTGCCTACCTCGATTATCCATACTAATCTAGTAGCTGTCAGCTCATATGTCTTCAAGGGAACTTTCTAGACTCCCTCAGATGTCTCTGCTAGTAGCTTTCATGGAACAGTGTATCTTGCCTTCATAAACCACAGTCCAATTTGTAATTATCCAGCTACTTGTGTGACGTATAACTAACCCTTACCTATCCCACTGAATCATAAGCTTCATGGAAATTTGTTACTGCCTATTTTAGCCCACCATTGTGTTCTTACTACCCAGTCAATGCTTGGGACATGTAGATTTGTCTAGTGATGCTACTTAAATGACTAACACAGCAATTTCAATTTAATTCTTATTGTCATACATTTACATGCATGTGTTACCTACACAGAGCCCTCTGTTCTCCATATTCACAGATATCAAGGTATATTACATGGTGTGCATGTAATGGATACACTAAAAGATAAACGTGGGCCTGGGAGATAGCTCAGCAGTCTAAGTGTCTTCCTGGAAGCATGGGGTCCTGTGTTTGATTTCTGGCACCCCATGCTGCACTGGCCCTTCCCTGAGTGTGCTGAGTTGGTCACTGAAGCTGGGTGTGGTGGCGCATGCCTATAATTCTAGTGCTGGGGAGGTTGAAACAGGAAGATCACTACAAGTCTGAGCTGCATTGTGAAACTGGATCAAATACATAGAAAAGATAAAGATAAAGTACACAGAGATGTAGGTGTACTAATAAGTGCTCATAATGCATATCACATTCATATGCATATGAATATGCATATTGTATGCATATCACAACGCATATCACAATGCATATACACACCTAAGCACAGTAACCAAAGTGATGCATTTCTCTAATCTCTGGTTGCATACCAGTTTCTTTGAAATTGATGAAAGTAACATAAATTCTCAATGAATATTCTTAGGTTTTTTGGTGTGGCAGAGAGGCAGAAGTAAAAAGGAGGAGGGAGACTTTATTGCCATTGAGGAGGATGTGGAGCGGATCTGAAGGAGATGAGGCAGAGGAATCCTCTGACCTGAGGAAAGAAGGCTGAGACTTTGCGGAGTTTTGCTAGTGGCAGAGTTTGAAGGGCAGGTTCAGTGACACACATGGAACTGATTGGAGGCTCCCTTATGTGCATGGGAAAGGTAAAAGGAAGTTGGATCTAGGGCTGGAGTGGAGAAGGAAACGAAAGTGGTCATTGGGAGGATAAGCTGTTGTATTGGGGATTCAGCCATGTTGAATCAGGGCCATGATAATTTATCAGTTTATATTTGGGCTGAAACATATCAAATGTATCTTATATAACTTATATATATCCCAGATTGACATTCTAACTCACATATAAAGTTTTTTTATTGTATTAAATTTCATCAAGGCAATACTTCAAATGAAAACAAAACTTACAAGAGCTGGCCAGTGAGATAGCTCAGTGGACTAAGTGCCTGCTTAGGCAAGCACAGGGACCAGGATTTAATCCCTGGCACCACATGTCACACTGGCCTGCCCTTGGGCAGCTGAGCTGGCCACTGAGACCCAGTGTGGTGGCGCACACCCACAATACCAGTGCTTGGGAGGTTGAAAACAGGAGGATCACTAGGAGTCTGAGCTGCAGGGAGACCCTGTACCAAATACATAAACAAAACAAAACAGAATAAAATGACCTCCAAAACCTCAAAAGAGCTCTGCTATTCTCACCAGGATGAAAGATACTAAGAGCCAAGAAGGGAGGAAAAAAGGAGTAAAATCAATCAAGATGCAGTTTACTTATTTATTAGTTTGTTTTTGTTGTTTACTTTTTGGAGACAGAGTTTCAACATGCAGTTCAGGCTGGCCTTGAACTTGCTGCCACCCTCCTGCCTTAGCCTCCAGAATGCTGCAGTATATATTTATATGCTCAACAAGGTGATTTCAATTATTAAGCATCATAAACATACACTAAGAGGAATTTAGAAATATGGAAGGACATGCATAGAAACAGCCCGGATCCGATCCCTGGGGTAGGGAGAAGACCTAGGTTTGCATGCAAAATCTGCTTGTAGTGGTAGATGATGTTACGCTCAGTGTAGACTGACCTCCAGACAGAGCTTGATCTAAACACAAAGTCGTGTAGCTATGTTAGTGGGTTGGCATAGCCAACTGGAAGTGGAGTAGTGAGCAAGGGAAAGCGACAGAGAAGGGGAACAACCAGATGGTAGAGGGGTGCGAGGTGGGGGCGGCGCAGACAGAGCACTACCTGGCTGCTCCTGTACCGGCTCCTGGAGAACCACAGTAGTTGATTCGCCATAGGCCATGGATAAGTACTCTTCAATGTCACTGTCCCGGAGAAGTTCCATTCCTGAGCCGTCAGCATAGATCACAAAAAATCTGATGGAACAGAAATCTTAGTTACTTGAACTAGTCAGTTACAATGCTTCTTGAATTCTGAATTGAAAACAAAAGTTATAATATTATTTGTATTATTTTGCCTGGGAACGTGTTCACCATAGAGTTGTGTATGATCTTTTTCGAGATGAACAGATGATAAACTGTCGTAGCCCTCAGGTTTTACATGGAAATCGTCTTCTGATTTTTTTTCAGGTAGCATAGTTGATGCACTGCCATCAGCCATGACCTAAGAGACAAAGAAATTGAAAGAAAAAAAATAAAATGCCACAATGCTTTCCCTTCTGCTGATCCAGAGTGAGAAAGCAAATAGTCTTTTTGTACACTCAGAAAATCAGATGCATTTTATTTGCAAGTAAAAGATATTATTCACTTAATTACAGATTGCACTAATAAGAGTAAAACCTAGCAGCACAGTTCTTATAAACCACTCTAAGAATTTGAAAACAAATGAATACATTTGAAGAAAAAGTAACTAGAAAAGAGAGGGGACTCAAAGATCTTATCCTATCAGATAAGCTGAAGGAATGGGACATTTAAACATCCAAGAAAGGGCTTTCTTTTTTCCCCCATAATTTTATTGAGAAACAAATAACAATGAGACAGTTTCAAACCAAATTGGTAGGACAGTTTCAATAATTAACACATTGCATACATTCTTCCTAGTGGTTAATTGCTGTACAAGATGCAGACATGATATCCTATTTACAAACACTATTAGAACAAATGCGTCTATTCATTAAGAGAATGTAACTATATATCTATCCTAATCATTTTGAATACACAGATACAAACTGGACATTCATCTGTATCCCCATTTTGTTAAGTTCCATTATTTGACTATTATAGGTATGTTAACTCAGCAAAATATTCTAAAAGAGTCCAGTAGTCCATAATAGTATTGGGTCTTCTGTTTCACTGGCAAGAAAGGGCTTTTGTGTGATAGTTATCTTCAAACAATGAAAGAGCATCACTCAGAAGAAACTTATACTTCCTAATCAGAATTAGGGCTCTACGTAGAATATTCAGGAAAACAAATTTAGCATCAACTTGAGAAACAGTCTAGTGGTTATTGCTGGCTACCTTTGGGAGCATATTGTGGTACAGCCTGGCAGCCCACTGACAAGGATGCTCAGGAGAAGAGGTGGTGTCTAGAAAGTGGGGCTGATCCTGCCATCACCAACATTTCGACATGGGGGGTGAGAGGCCTTATGTTTTTATAATCTGAAATTTTTCAGCCTGAACTTGTGCTGTGAAGAGTCTCATTTACTTAGCAAAGCTGGATCAGGACTCGTATGCATTACCAGAAAAGAAGTTAGGGATTTTGTGGCATAATGCCAAATTGAAAAAATAACTCCGCATTCACCAGACAATGAAGGAAATTCCTCTTTTGGGTGGAGAGTAAGGGAAAAAAAGATAAATGTTTAGAGCAGGCTTTGGCAAAGCTTCTTGGTTAGCATCCAGAAGTGAACACTTCAGGACTCGCGGGCCACATGTTCTTCATTGCAAGTACTGAGCTCCTTCTTACTAAGCAGGAGTACCAGAGACAAACACGTAAACAAGAGCATCATGGCATTCTGTTATGCTTTACTTGATGAGACTAAGCACTGAATTTTCTGAAATGTTTGTGCATCGTGAAATAGTCTTCTGACATTTTTTTAAAACCAAATTAAAATATACAAAGAAAAAAAAATTAAGGTATATAGAACAAATGGCCAATGCTTGGACTACAGGAAAAGGAACAGGTCTGGTGGGGAAAGTCTGTGCAAAGCCGGAGCACTGCTGTGGAGGTGGCGCATCACTGCTGCCAACCTCCTGCCTCCCTGTCCTAAGCCCTCCTAGGCATCTGTCACCACGGACTCTGGCTCATTCCACACCGCAGTCTTCTGCCTTGTATTTGGTGACACTTTAATAAGGCTGTGGATCATCCTTATGCTAATCTTTGTGGTATCATTTTTTCCTTGTTTGTTTATTATTTTTATTCATTTTAATGAGAAAAAAAGAATAGTGATGAAACAGTTTCAAAACAGGTTGGTAGGACGTGTGGTGTCATTATCTTTTGATGTCTGCTAATATTTCTTTTGTTCTATTATAATCATCTATTATGCCATAACATTTCTACTGTTCTACTGTTGGGTTTGCTATGCTCCATGGAAAGGCAGTTGGGAATCAAGGAAAAGATACTGCTTTCATGTTTTTTGGACCAAAGTATTGGCAGAAAGTGGCTAAGTACTCCTATGACAATAAAAGTAAAAATCGACATGAAAGCTGTAAAATTATTACAACTCTCAGAGCCACGGGCTCTCGTTGCATGCTGGAGATGCACTTTACCTGAAAGATGTTTCCCTCAGGATCCAGGACCTCACAGGCAACCGCTGATGTGTGCTTCATGACGTACCTGCTGGCTCTCAGCTGCTCGTGTTTTTGGAAAGGATGGTAGATGTTACTGCTGGCTTCGTGGCAATATGTGGCTGAACAATCCCTATCAATGTGGAGACAACCAGTGTTTGGAGGTAGCACCTGGAAGAGAAGACAACAGGCAAATAATTTCAGATTCTTATTCATCTCTAGAGACTTGGAGCAGCAGTTTGGGAAACATAATATTCATATCACAAACTGTATTTCCAGGAAAAAACTATCCCAGGGCCTTTGTTCTAATTATCTATTATGCCTTAACTTTTCCACTAGCCTACCATTGGGCTTGCCATTCTCCAAGGAAATGCACTTGGGCATCAAGAAAAAGATACTGCTTTCAGGATTGCTTAAGTCCTGAGAGAACTTAAGATTGGGGAAAGAGTGCTTGCCTTTAAACGGAAAACTAAGATATAGTTTCTTCCCTGTCCTCACATTTACCTATTTATGTTGACACAGTATCCTGAAAGCATTTTCCCCCGTGCCCTCTCATGCCAGGCATTTAGTCCATTTTAGTGGAGATAAACCCACATGGCTCTACTTCCAATGCCTGGTATCCACTGTGTTTTCGGAGAAGGAACATCTCTAAAAGGACCAAAGCTCTTGGCAAAGAAGCTGTTATTGGGGCTGAGGAGATGGCTCAGTAGAACAGGTGGTTGCCTGACAATTGCAAGGCTCTGAGTTCAATCCCCAGTTCCAGAGAGAGAGAGAGAGAGAGAGAGAGAGAGAGAGAGAGAGAGAGCTTTTCTGTAATGACTATTGCTCACACAGATCCTTTAAAACTACAACTCTGGTTGCATAGGTCCTGCTTTACCTTGGTCTTAACCATCCAGCAGAAAAGTATAAGAACAAAGTATAAGAGGTAAAGCCATGCTGTTATGTTGAGCTGTAGGGGACTCAGGTCAACAATTTCTGACATTGCCAGTGAAGCAGAAGACCCAATACTATTATGGGCTACTGGACTCTCTTAGAATATTTTGCTGAGTTAACACACCTATAATATTTAAATGATGAAACTTAACAAAAAAAGGGGATACAGATGAATGTTCATTTTGTATCTGTGTATTCAAAGTGGTTAGGATAGATATATAATTACATTCTCTTAATGAATAGAGGGATTTGTTCTAATGGTGTTTGTAAATAGGATCTCAAGTCTGCATTTTGTACAGCAATTAACCACTAAGAAGAATGTATGCAATGTGTTAATTATTGAAACTGTCCTACCAATTTGGTTTGAAACTGTCTCATTGCTATTTGTTTCTCAATAAAATTATGGAAAAAAAGAAAAAAACATAATTATTACAAATATAAACATATAGTATAAATTCACCCTTTAAAAGTATGTGATTCAGTATATTTTTTGGATATGAAACTTATGCAATTATCACCACTTATTCCAGAACGTTTTTTATCATCCATAAAAGAAGCACCCATTTCCTTAGTATGTGTGCATCGCCCACCATGTCCCTAAGTCCTGGCGATGACTAATCCTAAGTCTCCACAGATTTACCTTGCAGTCATTTCCTGTAAACTAAGCAGGCATATGTGGCCTTTTAAAGTGTGTCTATCTTGTCAGTATTCGCCAGTTTGAGCATGTATCAGTAACTCATTCCATTTTAGGGATGAATAGTATTTCATTTTAAAGCTATTTTATTTCTATGACTATTTTATTTCTCCACTCATGAGCTGATACACATTTATTTGAGATTTGAGAATTTATTTCATTTCGCAATTTGGGCAGGTCCTGAACTCATTATGTAGCCCAAGGAGGCCTTAAACCCACAGTAACCCTCCTGCTTCAGCCTCCTAAATGCTGGGGTCATAGATGTGCACTATCAAGCCCAGTCACATTTTTTTTTTTAAATATGGTGAGCAGAACAGTCTAGGCTGAAACTCACTGGAGGGAACAGAATTAAGGATGCTGAAGAAAATAGAGGCCCTGGCAGGTGGAGCGCTAGAATCAGCAGGTTTGGAATGGGGTGGAGCATTGGCTCTCTCCAGAAATCTGCGTGCAGCCAGCTAGTGAAACAGTTTGGGTGTCTGTTTGCGTTCTCAGACTTCCTTACCTGGAAGCATGGATGTGAGGCTTGAGTGTGCAAGCCAGGTATGGATGTGGATCAGTGCTTTAATTCCTACCCTGGATTACTGCAGGTAGAGGTACGTGATTACGTGGCTCTAACATCCAGAAAGTTTTTCTCTTAAACTTTCCACTAATACTTCCTGCTTCCTTTTTCTTTTTTGTAATTGCTTTTCTACTTTTTTTTTTTTTTTGCTCTTTTTCAGTTTTTCACCTGCTCCTCACAGAACCTTTCATATTTCTTCTCTTTTCCCTCATCAAAACCTATTTTCTGGGCTGGGGAGATGGCTCAGTGGAATAAGCGCTTCCCTGGTAAGTGCAAGGGTCTGAGTTCAATCCCCGGTTCCTCCATAACCTATTTTCTCAAATTTTTCCTCCTTGGTTTTGCTTTTATTTTATATTAACTCATTGCATTTTCATACTATTTTCTCACTTTTCCCCTTGGCTCTCAAGTCACAAAACATGCTTAAATAAATGCAAAAGAATAAAAATAATCTCTTGCATCCTATTAAATCAGAATGAAATATGAAACTAGAAATCAACAGCAAAATTAAACACAGAAATTATACAAGCACGTGTGCTTGAATATATACTTTTATATACTCAGTGACTCAGAAGGACTCAGAGAAGAAATTTTAAAAAATTCGGGGGTGAAATAACAGCGGCAATAAGATATATCACAATCTTTGGGGCTTATATTAGAAATATGAAGCATTATCAAGTCAGTGGCCTAATGAGACATCTCAAAGGTATAGAAAAACAAGAAAAATTCAAACCAAAATCTTGTAGAGGGCCAGAAGTTATAAATAGCAGAGCAGAAATCACCAAAATTGGGACTAAAGAAGGGATAAATCAATCAATTAAACAGTTGGGTTCTTGAAAGCATAGGATTGATAAACTCTTAAATGTACTCATTAAAAAAGGAAAGACCCTCATCAAAGCAACTAGAAATAAAAAAAGCAAAATTCCCACAGACATTGAAATTCAGAGGATTGTAAGAAAGTATTTTGAAAATTAATACTCCAACAATTGGAGAATATGGAATAGAGTCCTAGATATACAGCAAAACTTAACCGAGAAGATATAAAAAATGAAACAGACAAATAATAGGAAATGAAATTAAAATAGTGATGAAATTTTCCAACTAAGAAAAGCCCAAGCCTCATTGGAGTCACAGATGAATTTTCTCAGAATGTCACAGAGAACTATTACTAATACTTCTCATTAAACTGAAATTGACAAAACACTGACAAACTAATTCCATGAGGCTAACAGAAGCCTAATAGCAAAATGAGACAAGGATTCAACAACAACAACAACAACAACAACAACAACAACAACAGCAACAACAACAACAGAAGTCACCATAGGTCAATATATTTGATGAATATGGATGCAAAACTCTTCAATAAAATACTTACAAATCAGACTTGTGTGTGTAAACATTGTACTATCTCCCTAGTATAAGAACCTGAAAGAAGAAGTAAAATCCAAAAGATATAGTAGATAAAAAGAAACAGTTCAAATGGAAGTAACAACTGGGATGAGGAAAAGGAGAAAAGAAAGAAAGATGGGAAAGATGTGTGTTTATACACAGGAGAGCTTAGATAATTGTACTGATGATTTCTGCAGGTCTCGTTGAAAGGAACGGTTGATGCCTAATTTGTTGTTGCTCTTTTTAAGTTTTTGATCCAGTTTGCATACTTGTATCTGACAATCTAAGCAACGAACTTGAAGACAACAATACATAACAGCCATTGTTGAATTCCTATCATTCTGTTTAGTGAAATTCTGTATTGTTTCTAATGCTTTTTTTTTTTTTTACTGATTTTTGTTCTGTTAAAAAAAGAAAAAATATGAAACACACATGAAAACCATTCAGAATGCAACAAATCATTAAGAATGTAGTATATCATGACCTAGTAGAATTCATCCCGGGACATAAGCATGGTGCAACATAGATGAATCAGTAAATGCAATAACACCCCCAAATAAAATGAAGAATAAAAATCACATGGTTTCTCAATGCAATAAATTCTTGACTTATGAAGGATTCCTTCCCAGGAGAATGTTTAAAGTCAGATTTGTTAATGCGTCAAACGAAGTGAATCTTATATAGTACACCTGTGAAAGTTTGCAACTCAAATATTTGTAAGTGAAGGACTTACTATAGATAAAGAAAAACTGACAAAATCCATTTATTTCCATAAGTAAAAGCTTAATGAAAACAGGTATAGAAAGACCTTATCTCAAATTTATAAAAGGCATTCATGACAAACCCACAGCCAACAACATAATAAATAAGGACAAACTGATCAGGAACAAGACAGGTGTGCCCATTCTCACCACTTTCTTCAGTACAGTACTTGAAACATTAGCTGGAGCAATCAGGCAAGAGAAAGAAATAAGCCACAGGTAGGAAGGGAAGGTGTCAAACTATCTATCTATCTATCTATCTATCTATCTATCTATCTATCTATCTATCTATCTATGAACGGTTGATGCTTATGTCCCTGGGTGAATCTCATACATGTCCCTTGCACCATGCTTATGTCCCTGGGATGAATTCTACTAGGTCATGATATACTATCTTCTTAATGATTTGTTGCATTCTGAATGGTTTTCATGTGTGTTTCATATTTTTTCTTTTTTAAACAGAACAAAAATTAGTAAAAATTTATAGATATAGATATAGATAGATAGATAATATGATGCTCTACATAGAAAAGTTCGCACACATACACACACACACACACACACACACACACCCCAGAAGATTCTTAGAGCAAATAAACAAATTTAGCAAAGTGACAGGAATGCATGAAAATCAATAACATTTCTGTACACCAATGATTAACTCAGTGAGAAAGAAATCAGGAAAATGAACCTGTTCATGATAGCTTCACAAAATTAAATGCCTGGGAATCACCCTAATCAAGAATGCGAACAACTTACAGTGAAAGTTACAGTGCTCCAGAGAAAGAGGTTAAAGAGGATATTAGGAAGTAGATCTCCCTGTCCCCTGATAAGCAGAATTAATATTGCTAAAATGATCGTAGTATCAAAAACAACCCATAGAGAATCCTATTTAAAAACCAAAACATTTATTACAGAACTAGAAAAAGAATCCTAAAATTTATATGCAGTCAGAAAAAACCAAAAGAATAGCTAAAGCAATCTGAGCATCACTAACAAAGTGGAAGAAAAAGAAAGAAAAAAAAAATGACCAGGGCCACAGGGCTAGCTCAGTGGGCTACATGCCTGTGTAGGCAAGTGCAAGGACCTGGGTTGGCTTCCCAGTATAGCATGCCATGCTGGCCCTGACCTGGGAGTGGCCAGCCGGCCCCCAAGACTGGGCATGGTAGCACATAACTGCAATCCCAGCCCTGGGGAGGCTGAAACAAGAGGATCACTATGAGTCCCAGCTGTAGAGTGAGACCCTGTACCAAATATATTTAAAACAAAAAAGCAGGAGGAAGTACAATCTCAAATTTTAAGGTATGTTATCAATTTATTATAATAAAAACAGTGACACTAGAACAAAAATAGATATAGACCAATGAAATAGGAGATACAGGAACAACCTCATGTATTTTTAGCTTGCTGATCTTTCACAGTGTTAAAAATATGTACAAGAGAACAGGGCCTCTAATAAATAATCCTGGGAAAACTGGTCATCCACATGCAGAAGAGTGAAGCTAGACCCATATTTCTCACCTTGTACTAAAATAAAATAAAAACGGATATCAAACAGAAACACTGAAGCTACTGGAAGGTATGCACAAGGATTCCTGAAGAGAACTGTAATAGCATAATAAATAACAAGAATCAACAAATGGGATCTTTTTCTTTTTTTACTTTTTATTCGTGTATGATGATTACATTCCTCATGGAACAAATGAGATTAAATTAAACTAAAATCCTTCCATACAGGAATCATGGGAAAAAAGGAACACTTCTCTACTGTTCGTGGGAGCACAGACTGGTACAACCACTATAGAAATCTGTGTGGAGACTCCTCAAAGAGCCAGCCTTGGAGGTCCCATTCAACCCAGGTAGTCCCTTCCTAGGCATTTTTCCAAATGAATTGAAAACATCATACCATAGTGATTTATACGCACCCATGTTTATAGCAGCACAATTTGTCATAGCTAAATCTTGTAAGCAACCCAATCGCCTATCAACTGAGAAATGGATAAAAAAAGATGTGATATTTTTACACAGTGGAGTATTATTCAAGTATAAAAAAGATAAATTTGAAGCTTTTATAAATAAATGGATGTAACTATAGACCAGACTGGTAAGTGAAATAAATCAGACCTGCTTGTGCAAACACTGTATTGTCTCACTAGTGTAAGAACGTGTAAGAGTGAATAAAATCTGAAAGGTACAACATATATGGCATGTTATGGTTTGTGTATAGGTGTCCCTCCAAAGCCTAATGCAGCCATGCGGTGGGGACTTCTAGAGTTTGAGATTAACTCATGATCCACTGGGATTATGAGTTTTAGTACTGCTGGGATTACGGATGTGAGTGCTACCCCCAGCCTGGGGCGGATAGCCTGAATGCAATTTAAGGGAGGCAGACTTGCTCTCTGTTGCCCTTGTTGCTGCTGCTTCTCCCTTGGCTCCTCCTGCTCTTGTCCACCACCATGAAAGGCTGCTCTCTGCTCTGTGCCACCCTGCCTTGGAACCAGCTGAGTATGAACTGAAACTTCCAGTAACTGTGAGCTCAATAAACCCTTCCTTCCTTCATTCTGGGAGTTGGGTTTTTGTCCCAGCAACAAGAGGAGAATAACTGAGACACAGTGAGAGGGAAAGATTTTGTTCAATGGAGAGGAAAAACTAGGATGAGAGAAACCACAAAAGAAAGAAGGGATATCTATCTATCTATCTATCTATCTATCTATCTATCTATCTATCTATCTATCTATGATAGCTTGTATAATTGTATTGCCGATTTTTTGCTGGTCTCTTGAAAGGAGCAATTAATCCTTAACTCTTGTCTTTTTAAACCTATTTTGCATGTTTATATCTGGTAATCTAAACAACTAATTTGAAGATAATATTATATGATACAGCATCCATTGTTGAATTCCTGTTTAATTCTTCAGTGAAATCCTGTGTCGTTTCTAATATTTAAAAAATTTTTTTTAACCATTTTGCATTCTCTTTAAAAAATCCTATGCAGAAAAGGAATTAATGCAGAAAAGGAGTGAAGAGGTTACCTTCAAAATGGGAAGTTTTTGCCAGCTACTTTTCTAACATAGACCTCAGATGGATTTAGGATATATAAAGGCTTTTTAAAAATAGACCATACAAACAAATGACCCAGTCAGACAATGGGCAAATGAAATAAATGCACTCTTCTCAAAAGAAATAAAAATGTCCAGTACGCACATGAAAAATGTTTAATGAAAATATTAAATAATTTTACTGAGAAACAAATAGCAGTAAGAGTTTCAAAACCGATTAGTAGGACAGTTTCAATAATTAATACATTTCATATTGTTGTCTTCTTAGTGGTTATTCATAGTACAAGATGCAGACATGATATCCTGTCCAAACACTATTAGTACAAATCTTTCTTTTCATTGAATTAAGAGAAAGTAGTTGTATATCTATCCTATTTTGAATACACAGATACACAATGGTCCTTCATTTGTATCCCTTTTTTGTTTAATTTTGTCAGATATGGGTATTTCAATGTCATTTAAATATCGTAGGTGCATGAATTCAGCAAAATATCCCAATATAGTCTAGTAGTTCATAATAGTAGTGAAACTTAATAGTCAGAAAAATAAAATCAGAACAACACTCTGTCTTATTCAAGAATACCACCATGAAGAACACACACATCATCATCCACAACAGCAACAATAAATGCTGGTGAGATTTTGGGATAAAAGGAACCCTCCATTGTTGGTGGGAATGTAAACTATTAGAGCATTTACAGAAAAAAATATGAAGATTCCTTGGAAAACTAAAAATAAAGATTCCATTTTATTCACCTACACCTCTTGCAGATATGTTCCCAAAAGAGTTAAAGACATTATACTATAGAGATACATGAACACTCATATTTACAGCTTTGAATTACAACTCCAAAACCAAGAAAGCAGCCTAGATGCCCAATGACAGACAAATGGACCATGTGGTGTGTTCATAATGAAGTATTATTTGTCCACACAGAAAGAGAAATTCAAATCATTTGTAGGAAAATCAATGTAATTAAACCATAAAATGAAATCTGTCAGACAATAAGATTAATTACTTCATGGTACCTGTTATATGAGAAACCTAAAATATAAAGAGCAAAAAATGATAGATGGCAGGAGACAGGAAGACAGACTTCTCAGAGATGAGGAAGAGGATGCAGAGCAGAGGAGAGGGAAGGGAAAACAGGGAAGAAGAGAGGGGATAGAAAACGATCACTATATTTATACACATTTATAATATACAACATATATTATACAGAATATATTTTTATATATTGACACATATCAATATATACACATATACAAATTTTCCAAAACAAATATTATTATTGTATCACAAACACATGCCAATTAAAAAAGAATGCGGGCAGAGGTGGCGCGGCCTGCTAGTCAGGCATGCACGGGCCCTACGATCTCAGTGCTTATGCCATCCGCAGTGCTTGGCGTGTAGGAAATCCTCAGTGCACATCAGTTTATGATCTTGACTCAAGGCTTTGTGAAACAAGAAGGACAATTTTTTTTTTTCCAGTACCGGAGATTGAACTCAGGCCCTTGTGTTTGCCAGGCAAGCACTTTCTCTACTGAGCTATCTCCCTGGCCTCTCCGACAATGTTTTTCTCGACTACATTGCACAAAGATGATGAAGCAACAAAACTTTGAGACCCCCTCATCTCCCAGCTCGACCTACCTGGTATGTTCCTTGTGGCTTTGCAATGATAGAGGTCCCATCCCCAAAGATGGCGCAGCAGCTGCTGTCCTCGCAGTTGGTGATGACCGTGGCGTAGTGCGAGCTTTCTATGCGCGTGCACTTCACCTGCCTGGTGATGGTCCGAGGAACTTCAGCTACAAGCAAATACAAGGTAAACAGATCTGACAGGACATGTATTTTGGCAAATAAGCCCCAGCCTACTGAAGTTGCTACTGTGTCCTGGTTGTCTGGATGTTCCATGGGATGAACACAGTTGGAAAGCATGTGTGTGTGTGTGTGTGTGTGTGTGTGTGTGTGTGTAGCTTCAGACTCCACCAGGCTGAAGTGGGGCTTATTGTCTTTGTCAACTCAGAGTAATTCTTTTAGAATACATCATCATATTTTTATTCTATCACTATCTCACTGTTCCTTTTATTTTGTGCAGCTGAAAATATTGTTATTCATTTTGAAAATTAAAATGCATAAGAATATAATTCAATTGCCCATGTATTTACCAATCAAAATACATGCTTGTCATTATTTTCCATATTTATTTAACACTTATAATGTGTATATAAAAGTTATATTTTCTCTTTATGCAGATTTATTTCCTTTATATAATTCATTTTTATACTTTTA